CCAAATGATAAAGATTATAAAAATAAAAATAAAAAATTATTGCTCTGAATGAGAATAGTATTAATAATGAAATAATAAAAATTACATGGGAGAAGGTAGCACAAAAATCTCACAAAATTAATTTTCTTCACTATATTTATAAAAAGTAATAATTTGAGATTTTTTCTATTAGTTATTAAAAATAATTTGCATTAGATCATTGTTATGTTTTTTTTAAAATTTTTTTTATAAGGTTGTCATTCGTTATAGTATTTCTTCAATCTCATCTCTAAATTCTCTCTTTGAAATTTTTGTTTTTTCAATAATTAAGTTTAGAATCAATTTTTTGTCAAATTTGTTTTTTTGATCCTTATTTTATTGAAGGATCGAGACGAATAAAACTTTCATATAATATATGAAATTAATGAATATAATACAAAGATGATGGGGAAGTACTACATATTGGTCAATATCTCTATGTTATTATTAGTTGATTTGCTAGATTATACTATCAATTTAGAGTTCATATGATTTAATTCAATGTTCATGACTTTATTTGTATTTGACCATTTTTTCGTTGAGTAACCGATATGATTTTTTTTGGGTATATAATGATTAAAGCTATTATTTGTTATATTTTTTTCAAGAACAATTCAAATAATTTTTTATCATTTTTTTATAAATAAAATAGATTAAAACTATTCTTTTATATAATTTTTATAAAACTATGACATTCTTGTCTTGATTAATTTTTTTTAAAATGTCGTAGGAACTATGCAAGTATTATTCAAACTATGGAAAATGATTTATACTTTGATATGATATGAGTGTGTCATTGATAGAGGAAATCAAAGATAGAGAGTTGCTAATATAATCAATTAATGATTTGTTTGAGAAGTTATTTTTATAAGCAAGGCAACAAACTTAGATTAAACTTTTTTAAAAACTACTTATAAATTATAATTAAAAGTTGATATTTATTCATAATTTGATCCCACAATAATAATATAAACCACTGATTTAAAAGTCCAAGTAAATTTATGATAACTTTTCTGAGCTTATAGAATTTATCTCTTTTAATGTTTTGTTTAGTTTGATACAAGTTATTTATGCTATCAAGTGATTGTGATAGTATTATTCTCAACAATTTTTATAATTAATAATTTTTTATGCATATCAAATTTTATTTTAAAATTTTGTGGGTTAATTATTGTTAACATCTATCTAGATGGCTTAATATTATGGCTTGTCACTATTAAGATATAATTTAAAATTAAGATAATTTATTTATCCCATAAAATATATATAATCTATTTTTTCGTGCATCGCACGAGTTACCGCTAATTTGAGTATAGTGGATTGTATTAGGAGGGGATTGAAATTTTGGATACCGAGAATTCTGTATCCAAAATACAGTTAACTATCATTTGGGAAAAAAGATGCAGAAAGAAACAAAATTGGAAGTCCAAATTCCAACTATGTTCACACACAACAGTTTCAGTTCGCTTGCATTGTCATGAATTGAGCATGACAAGCTTTCAAAGGGATAAGCAAGCGTTTTTTCCGAAGAAACTCAAACCTCAATATGTGAGAATGCAAAGCGAGATAGCTCTCAAATCCATATTAATCCTATGTTTGGCAACAATTTTAAAAAGTTGTTTTCTTCTTTTGAATTTTTGTTCTTTTAGTATTTTTTTTTAAAAAAAGTTTGTGTCAAAAACAATTTACTTTTCAAGTTTGTAAGATTCTAAAATGTAAAAATAATTCAAAAAAAAAAAAATCTTAGTAATTAGAATTTTTTTTTTTTTTACTTTTTAGTTCGGTCTAATTTAGTGGGACTTAAAATTGGACTTTTTAATTAAAACAAAATCAACAGAAATGTTATTAAAAAAAAACAATTGCTATACCCACTCCAAAAATACTAGAGTAATCAACCTGCCTGGAGGCAGGATGAGATAAGTGGCCCCTCTCATTTTCTTTTACGAATAATTGTATAAAATAAATCAGTTTTAGGTCTGTCTATTTGTACAACGCCGTTTTAAAAATTAATAAAGAATAATTTTGTGATAGTATTAATTATATTTAGCCTCTCTACATTTTTATTAAAATTTGACTTTAATTCTCAATATTTTTATATTTTTATTAAAGTCTCACTCGTCAATTTTCAAAACAACATTTTATGATTGAGCCTAATTATAACTTCACAAATATTATGTTTAGTTGTGGATGTTGAGATTTGTATTTATGATTTCATTAATGCTTTGTGTATAATCTGAGACTAGATTACGTTAGACATTCAACTCTTTCATTAATGACTTCAAGACATGCACAAAAAGCCACAGCTCATTAGGGAAGTCATAACAACAGTGAGGTGGAGCATCCAAAAATAATAATAATAATAATAATGCTATATGTACTAATTGATATATTAATTAGTATATTAACAGAAGATGTGACATAATTTTAGACATTTTGGATATTTATAACTTATGTAATGAGTGGGGTCAGTAATAATGTCATAACATATGTTGGTATATTAGTTGATATATTAATTAGTGCATGTAGCACTACTGAAAAAAAAAAAAAAAAAGGGAAGAGAAGAAGACAATTTCAAAAAACTTTTAATAATTTTGAAACACTTTTTACTAAAATTGAGATACCCTTTCAATAATTACAAAATGTTTTTTTCGGATTTCAAAAATTTTAAACCTTCTTATTTGTGCGTGCAAAAAAAAAAAAAACACAAACAAACGGAGAGAGTAAAATAAGATGATTGCTACTAATTTTAAATAAATTTTAATATTAAACAATGTCTTAAAGGCACTTATTAGTATTTCTCTTTAGTATTTTTCAAAACAATATAAAAAGTTTTGAATAAGAAAAAAAAGTGCTATACAAATTTTAAATAACACTATCCACATATGTGGAATGCAATAATAAACGAATGATGTGTTTGGTTGGGGGATTTGGGGAGGGATTTGGAAAGGGAAATGGAAAAGGTAGGTGAAATGTGAATAAATCATGCCTATATTTCACATAGTTTCACCCACTATTTCCCTTTTCCTTTCCAAATCCCTCCACAAATCCCCCAACCAAACACAACATAAGGATATTTGAAACTACACACAGTAAAATAACATGATTGGAATAATTTAGTTGTCATAATTTAATCATAATTTGTCAAATTAGTAGGTTTGGATAACATTATTAAAAAAGGAAGAAGAAAGGTGAAAAAGTATTAATTGTCAGTAGTTACCACCATGAATATTGAGGTAGCATGTTCTAGATAAGTAAAATTTTTGCATTTGTATCATTATATTACAACTTTTAATTTGGTAGAATTTTCTCTAATTTTTATAAAAAAGAGTATCTGGTATGCATTTGTTAATCAATTGTTACTAAATAGAATTTTTTTTAAATTTAATTGAGAGAATTACCGGGATACCTTCAAAAGAATATTATAGATTCATTGAAAATTTTAAAATTTTAATTATTCATATTAATAAAATTTACTATTAAATTGTAATTTATTTAAAAACATACATTGATTTTTTGTTTTCTCATTTATATAAATAAATATATCAATTAAACATAATATTAAGCAGATAGATTTCACATACGTATATGTTTGCTAGTAGATTAATGATATTGCTAAAATTTTAAATATGTAATATAATAATCGTAGTAAAAAGTTGTCTATAATTTTAGGAGCAAACTACTTTACAAAACAAGAAAAGTGCCCGCCACTTTCCAAACGTTACACATACACTGGGACAGAACTAGGAGGACTATAGGGCCGTTTGTTTTTGGTGAAAGAGAGGGTATTGGGATTGTTAATACTAAGGTATTAATAATAATTTTATTTATTTTGAGAGAAGGCCTTGACGGTATGTTTGATTGAGTGGATTAGAGCATGGGATTAGGATTATTAATCCGTGGGCCCAATTATCCTATGTTTGTTTTAACATTTTGGTTTAGAATTACTAATCCAATAGATAATTAATCCAATAAATTTGTAGGATTATTAGTAATGGGGTAGGGGTGGGATTATTAATCCAATGGATATTAATCCAATTGGATAGTGAATACCACACTAATTTAATAGGATTATTAATCCTTCACTATTAATCTTGTGAATCAAACATGACCTGAGACTATTAGTCCCTTGGTATTACTAATACCCTTGGAGAGGGGATTGGTAAGGAGGAGGTAGAGATGGTATTAGAAAAATAGTGAGGGGATTAGAAATTTTTTTATTTTTTTTATTTTTTATATATGGGAATTTTTTTTTTAAAATATAATTTTTAATTTTTTATATATTTTTATTTGTTTTATTATTTTATATAAAAATAATTTAACAATTCCTCACTACCGGTGAGGGAGCCAAGGAACAAGGTTCAGAACCTGTGCTCTGATACCATGTTAACACAACTAGACAAATAGAAAAATATACTGAATAATATTATGTGTATGTCATACAATACAATGAAGGCCCATATATATATAGGCAAGAAAGAGAATCCTAATCCTACTATATAATGTAATCCTAATCCTATTATATACTACTAACATTATGTATATAAAATTTATACATCATATATATATACTTGTGTGTTTTGTGTATATGGTGAAAAATTTATTTATTTTTTAACTTTTTTAATAATAAAATTCTGATTCCGTCCCTCGTACAGCTAAAAAGACAAAATACACATAAATTTTTCATAAATTCTATATCCAGCCAAACCTCAGCCTTCCTTTGTCCTTTATCCTTTATCCTTTATCCGTTATCCCTTCCCAAATCTGAAAATTAAATTTATTCGCATATTTTTTTAAAATATATATATAAATACTCCTACATAAAATATAATTGATTTAAAAATGTAAATTTTATATTCAAAAAAATGTAATGACGTCATCTCGAATTCTCTCGCCCGGCTCGTATTTAATCCCCGCCATCGCTCCTCCTCCGCCGTGTATTTCTTTCCAACACTCCTCATTCTCTCTAAAACAGATCTCTCTCTCTCTCTTTCTCTCTCTCTCATTCATGGGTGACAAATCAGCAAATGTAGTAAGCGAGTGTTGTGACACAACTGACTACAATAAATTCAGTGGAAAGCTAATGCTGATTTCACTGCTTTATGTTGTGGCTGTTTGCATCCTCATCGCCTTCTTCCATTTTTATTGTCGATGGCTCCAACAGCAACACCGCAACCGCGATCTCCGCCTCAATCACAACCTCACACGCCACCACCCCAACCCAAGGCCCAACTACCTCGTCTTCAACTTCCGACCCACCATCGCCGCCTCCGCAGCCGGCACCACCGCTTCCAGTCCTCATCGGAGAGGCCTTGAAAGGGTCGTCCTCAAGACCCTCCCTACCTTCTTCTACAACTCCGTAGTCCATCCCTCTCCGCTAGAATGCTCCGTGTGCTTAGCCGAATTCGGAGACAACGATCTCTGTCGTGTTCTACCCAAGTGCAACCACTGCTTTCACATCGATTGCGTTGACATGTGGTTCTATTCTCACACCAATTGTCCGCTCTGTAGAACCCGGGTTAAACCCATTGAAAATCCGGTCGAAGCAAAGAATTCGGCGGTTGAGCCGGCTGCTCGGGAGGCCGGTTCGAGTTCTGGGTCGGGTTCAGGGGATGGTGGCGGCGCGCCGTATTCTCTGCCGCCGGCCGAGATGGTTGTGATAACGGTGGAGGAGACTCTGGGAGAACCGAAATAGGTGGGCAGTGGGTTTAAATATCCGGGTTGCCGGGTCAGGTGTATCGAGAGAATAAAAGCTGATGATAGGATGGTAGTAATGGCCTTGTTTAGTTGGTGTTTCTCAAAAAATTTTAGAAAAAATTCTCTATAAATAAATTTTCAAAAGTAATTAAATCAAACAAATTTTTTCAATTTTTTTTTCCAAAATGGAACTGGTTTTGGGACTCTGGGTATGGGTCGGATCGATGAATAGTTTCATCGAAAATTGAATCGCCGATACAAACTCTAGGTGATAAAAGGGTTTGGGTCTTAAATGTCGGGTCATAGTAGTAGTCGTGTCAGGAGAGAGAGAGGTAATAGAGTGGCTTCACTTGAGTGTGTGGCAGATACATGTAAATCTTTCTCTTATTTTTAGTCTGACAATAAAAATATATTTTTTTTGATATTTTTTATTTTTTATTTTCTCTTTTATTTTTATTTTCTTTGTTTTGATGATTTATTCAATATATATTTCTTTATTCATATTTTTAAAGAATGCAATATACTTCTTTTACTAAGAAAAATAGAATTAAAATCCGAGCATTAATGAAAACTCTTAAAATTGAAATATTAGCTTTACCTTGAAACATCAAATAAAAATAGTGTTTAGAGTCATTTACAAGTCACCGGGGAATACACTTTAAATATAAAATTTTATTGTGTACAAATTATACTATAAATGTAATTTTTTAAATAAGCGAGCATAATTGTGTTCAGATACTCTACAGTTTTCGTGGAGTGCACAAAACGACAACGACATCGTTTTACTTTTGGCAAAAAAAAAAAGAAAAAAAAAGAAGAAGAAGAAGAATAAAAAGAAGAAGAAGGAAAGAACGTAAAGAGAGTAGAACGCCGATAGCTTGGCAGCCATCCCTCCAACTACCTCTGACGGTTACTCTTTGTTTGCCTTTTGTTTTTTGTTTTGCCTTAAGTAAAATGATGCCGTTTTGTGCACCTCACAAAAATTGCAAAGAAATCACACTGTAAAGGATTCGAACGCGAAATAATTACTTTTGTGCTAGTTACAACCGTTTAATGTGACACTTTCTTGAATTAATTACATTCATATCTATAAAAAGCTACATTAATTTAATGTACAAGTGAGGCTTTTTGACAAAACTCCCAAAATTTAAGGATGATAAATGAACCAAACAATTTGAGCTCGACTTGTCAAAAGTTCGTTGGAGCTTAGTTTGTTAAGTAAACAAGCCAAGTTTAAACGTATTTTGGAATTTGTTAGAGTTTTCAAACCAAGCTTGAATAGTTAATTGTTTGATCGATTCGGTTCAATAAATCTAAAACTATATAAAAAATACCAAATTACTTGAACTCAGTTCGACAAAATCTCGTTTGAGATCGACTCGAAAGTTTAACAAACCAAGTTTGAACAAATTTTTAAGCTTGTTTAAGTTTTCAAATTAAACTTGAATAGTTAACTGTTCGGCTCGTTTATCTCGTTTATCACTCTTATCTAAATTCAAAATTAGTTCAATCTGGTTTATACTATAAATATAATTTTTCAGGAAAACGAATATAATTACTTGTGTAATGGTTGTAACTGTTTTATGAAACGCTTTCTCGAATTAATTAAATTTATATCTATAAAAATTTATATTCATTTAATACGTAAGAGAGGTCTTTTGGCATTATTTGTGTTAAAATGTGATAATGCAGTCTTGTTAGCAGGATATGGGTCGGATTGATCCAAGCGCTCTGTGGGATGGCTGTCATTCGCCTTCCTGATCACACCTGCAACAAGTCTAGTAGGAAGGTTCCGAAATGAGGGTGGTTCCTTCCCACAGACGGCGCCAACTGATAATGTAGTCTGGTCGACAGGATATGGGTCAAACTGATCCAAGCGCTTCACAGGATGGCTGCCCTTTGTCTTCCTAACCGCATCTGCAACAAGTCCAGTAGGAATTAATCATTTCCTTGTCTATTCATAATGTTCCATTGGCCGAAAGTTTGCCATTGGCTTGCCGTCAGCCATGGCCATTTCACCATGCATTAGAGTGAGAGGTCTTATTGCATTTAATGCCTTGACAGTCACATTTAATGCTTGGTGCATGGGTTCAACATTTTTGTAGAATCTTTGTCAATCGCGTAACTAGGCTTTTGCTTGACAAATGTCCAGCTGGTGCCTGGGCTTGACTATTGTGAGTTCTTTATTAGGTTTGGTGTTGGGCCTGTTCTGCTAGGTTTTATGATAACTAATCAAATATTTGTTTGGAAAACCTATAACAACCATGGGTTGGACTCTATTGGACCATGTCCTATCAAAATGTAAGAAATTATCAATAATTTTTAATTTTTAACTTTTAAATTAATTTTTTTTGATTAATTATTATGGTAACAATGATTTTACCCAAAGGCAACTGACAAAGTATAAAATAAAGATGAGTTCAAAGGAAGTACATTCTTTAGGAATACATGTAAATGTTTTCTATGAAGCATGAACACTTTCAGTGCCCCGTCCTTGATGCCAAGCATCTCAAACATCTTACTCATTTGTTCCAACCACTCGTCAGCCTTCAGTGGCTCCTTTGGATCCCCAACAAACTCATCTGGGTTAGACCGGAAGAACTCCCTCTTCAAGAAAGAAGGCCCTGCCTCAGCTGCCTGATTCCCAGCTCTGAGAACACTTATAACACTTTACAGTTTCATGACATACAAGTCCAAGTTACAGTCCATTTTCCAATTCCATTAAATTCTCAATTTAAAACCATGGCTCAGAACCTGGCCCAACAACTGATATGATACAGTAATTCAGATTAAACACTTTCCCATTTCATAATAGATAAGCATACTAGCTATATCACACACCAACAGATAAGCATACAAGCTATACCATCACTTCCATAGATATGCATAAGAGCACTATCACTCTTCCAAGGACAAGCATATGAGCTGTGTCAACGCATTACTAGATAAGCATATGAGCTCTATCTATGGAGTCTATCCCCTATCTTCTTCCAACAACATCCGGTTTAGAGGTCCATCCCCTATTTTCCCCTAAACCGTGGAGTACATCCCCTATCTCCTCCAACACGACACGATGCATATAAACAATAATTATACACATTATCACACAATACATAAATTTAATGTATTCTTTCAACCGTCATACTCAATGACACATTCTAGTGATTAGTTTCAGTTTGCCTAATCATCATGCATTGTCTACAACAATCAAGACTATCCTCCACCGATAGCCCAAAGCAGTTATTTCTATACAGAAAATAAATGCAACAATGGATATATAATCAACAGTTCAACTAGGAGAGCGATAAATGGCCCAACCACACCCTTTAATCCCATACCTTTCCAAATCAATTCCTCATTTCTCATAATTAATTATACGAATTAATTAACCAATGTAATTAGGGCATATTCCATAATTAACATTACAACCCTTAGGTTCCATTTTCATTAATGTTTTAACATTAATTTCACTTTTCCATGCCAAACATGCATCTAGGTTTTATATAGTTAAAACCTCAACTTTTGTAAATTTACACAAAAATCCCAAACTTTCACAAAATTACCAAACCAACCCCAACATCTCAAAATATTAAAATTTAAAGACAAAGCCCATAGTGAGGAGTAGGTTATCCGTACCTCAAAAGATGACTCCCAACCAAGAAGGTGAAGAAAACGAAAATGCTCCAAACCACGAATTTCTCGGATCAAAAGATAGCCCTCGACGATCAATAACTCTTTTGTAAAGGCCAAAGGTGAATAAAACACCCTAGCTAGATCAATACATAGAGAGAAGTTAAGGTTTTAGAGAGAGGAGCTCTCAAATGGCTTTTTTTGGAAAAGTAAGAGAGAGAAAGAATGAGAAAAAGTGATTTAAAACTGTCCCACAGCCAACTGATATACGACATTCCCGCTCGAGCGGAAACACACAACGCTCGATCGTCAAGAACAAAAGCTAGGTCCGCTCGAGCGCAAAAAGCCCCGCTCGAGCGCCAAGACACAAGAATAAAGCACATCCGCTCGAGCGCGAAAACCAGTCCGCTCGAGCGTAGATTTCCCCCTCCCAGAACTTACACCAAAAAGGTACTACCCGCTCGAGCGCCAAAGTACCCGCTCGAACGCCACCGCTCGAGCGTAAACAAACCCGCTCGAGCGTAAAAACCACACCTGCAGAAGTTTTGCAGGGACATAAAAAACTGGGAGCACGTAATCTCCGCTCGAGCGCAAGAAGACCCGCTCGAGAAGACCTCCTAAAAATTGGGCAACAAAGAATTGAAACCAAAGCCTAACCAACCTGTAACAACTCTGCTCCATACATCCTAAAACTCAATCAAGTGGAATTAAAGGATGACAACAAGGTGTACCACCACCAACATCACGGAACCGAGTCCGAAATACAACTGAACAGTAAAGGGACAACCGGGATCGCTATAACCTCCCCCCCTTAAAGAATTTCGTCATCGAAATTAAACACGAGTTTTTCAAAAACAGGTTTTCTCCATTTTCAACAATTTTACCACATAATATTAAATAACCCGACCCATTACCGGTCAATCCCATCTCTTTTCAAGAGGCATTACACATTATTCATAACAACCTGCATTATCAACATGCATTCTTTTGAAATTTAGCAATTTCAACTCATTTTCCCCTATTCCATAACACATGCAACATTATCATCATGCTTGCATTTCCACAATATACTTAACATACACAATGTTAAAACAAACTTCCATTAACCAAAACATTCACAATGTTTTACAACGTAAGACACATACAATGCTCTTAACGTTCAACAATATTACAAAAAATTCCATTACATGGTCACACATCAACAAACAAGTCCAGATATTTCTCGCGGACTTCCAACTCACGTTCCCAAGTGGCTTTCTCTACTCCGTGATGCTTCCACAAAACCTTCACCAAAGGAATGGTCTTACCACGCAGGACTTGATCCCGCCTATCCAAGACCCGAACCGGTCTCTCCTCATACGAGGCATCCTCGTCTACCTCCAAGTCGGTCCAATCCAACACGTAGGATGGATCCGGCTCATACTTCCGAAGCATACTCACATGAAACACGTCATGCACTCCGAACAACTGCGGCGGCAAAGCCAAACAATAAGCCACTTCCCCAATCCTCTCGAGGATCTCAAAGGGACCAATAAACCGAGGGGATAACTTCCCACTCTTCCCGAACCTCATCAGACCTCGCCTAGGTGATATTTTCAAAAAGACATGATCACCTACCTCAAACACTAAAGGTCTCCTCCTACGGTCGGCATAAGATTTCTGACGACTC